ACACACACACACACACACACACACACACACACACACACACACACACACAAGTCATGCTATCAGCCAAGGGGCCTTTAACGATCTCTTTGACCTCTGATCTTTCCTGCCTCTGGACTGATCTGAAATATCTCACCCCGAGACAATAAACTAATAAATTATTGGAAATCTATAGCTAATCTTAAAGTCTCGAGCACTGTACTGTGTAAAGCTAAACAGAAACAGTAAAGAAAACGGATCCACCACATTTAGTCAGATAACCAATGGCAGACAAGAAGACAATAAGAAAATGTAAGCAAAAGACAAGAGCTAGACATGAAGATGCTCTTATAAGTAGTCAAATGTTGTATAATGTTACTTTGGACATGACCGTAATAGCTACATGTAGCATTGGTAAGAGATCACCTATAAAGCTTTGAATTGCACTGTAAACTATGTATTAACACACACGTACACGCCCTGCTCATTACCTGTCTCTACCATCTGTCACTCGGTGGGGTTTCCTTCAGTGGAAAACATCCATGCTGTTAAGCATATTTGTGTGCGTGTGTGTGTGTGTGTGTGTGCGTGTGTGAGTGCCCTTATGACAGGGACTGATAAAGAGCATGTCTATGTCTGTGGGTGGACTCGCCGTACGTCATTTCAATCGACGCAGATCTCCCCTGCAGACTTTGTATTTTCCAGGCACAGGCAACAGAGCAGCAACACACGGAGGACTTTCTTCAGAAGCATGCCGGCCCAGTTTCATGGATCACTCTGACATGGTGTGGATTTGATGATGCTTTTCCCTACTCTCACAAACAGAGAGGACTGATGTGTGTGTGTGTGTGTGTGCGTGTGCGTGACACACTTTGCCTTTGCTCGGCAAATGTCCTAGCTAAGTGTCCTGATTAAGTTAGTCAGAGGAAACATTGGCAAAAAGACAGGAAGATACACACAGGGTCATACACACAGACTCACCCTGCAAGATGGATCTCAGGTGACACTTGTGCTCTTGGAAAATATTTGTCAAAATCATTTGTAATTATATTTGTATTGGATAGACGGGCAATAAATATGCTTGCAGCTGTAACTGAGTAATAATTTAATGTTACCCATTTCTTTACCGTTATATTATGGTATTATTATTTAATGCATCTGTTATACCCTGATGTCTACTGTGCTGTATCAATCTCTACTTTAAACTTGCTGTGAGCGCTTCAGGAACACTTAGAAATTTTAGAATTTATACGTTTTTTTAGTCTCCAAAGCTGTATTTTCTCCTGATTTCAATCATACTACTCAACTCCCCTTTCACCTATAATAAATCTACATTCCAATGAAGAAAATGATTAATGGTCGATACGTGAAAACAAAGAGCACATTCACTTACTGCAATCACACACGTATAATCTTTTCTGTGCTGGTTAAGACTGTAGACGTGCTGCAGACGAGCAGCCGCCACGCCGAAGCGTCTTAACAATGCTGATCGTTGTGGCCCGCCTACGTCTGCAGCTCTGACTACAACAAGGACATATCGGGTTATAAAGGGGACGCCTCTGCTACATTATGTGTGTGTGTGTGTGTGTGTGTGTGTGTGTGTGTGTGTGTGTGTGTGTGTGTGTGAGTGAGTGAGTGAGTGAATGCTAATGACTGACCGGGGGGACCATCATTAAGGGTGAAGGAAGAGAAAGGGAAAGAGCAAATAACCTGGAACAACAAGGTTATTGACAAACTGGTACAGCGTGCATCACAGGCTGAGCCTTTACACGCTCATCAAGGACAGTAAACCTAAATGTGTCACGATATAAGCAGGTTAGCAGGCTGTTTATTTTAACATTCTGAGCAATTCTATTCATTTATTTGTTACGCAACGTAGAAACCTAATAAGCAGGCAAAGATACGCATCATTTTTACCTCATCAAACCTGTCGAAGGAGGCACCATCCTGCATGAACTCGGGCAAGTGCTTCTGCCAGTTGAATTCGTAGGATTTTGTCATGGCTGCTCACAAACCTGAGAGACAGAGGAGAGACAGACGCACACAGAGAGAAAGAATTAGTGAAAGCTCTGCAGGAGGCAGGTGTACTGTAAGTGGAAAGAACATTGAGTTTTCAAGGACAGAACGCATCCTACGTAAACACATACAATATGTCCTCTTTCCTCTAGTCACGAAGAGATGCTGACTCACTGATTATAGACACCGTGCCTGGCCCTCCACTGAGAAGCACAATAACTACATGTAAACCCAGTTTACCAGTAATCTGATATGCAAGATGTTAAACTTTAATTTTCATGAACTCCAGCATAAGAATCTCTTTAAATGTTTCATGACAAATACTGAATCACAAATAATAAAACTAATTCTGATAAACATGTCACAGCATTACAAAAGTTGTTTGTGGGCTTCCAATGAGAGCCACTGTGTTAATGTTCGAGTGACAAAACCAGACCAGGGAAAGGCAGTAAAAACTCAAAAACCTAAACCCCCAGAACTTTAAGAGTAACTGCATACTTTAGCGCGTTTTTTCAAGTTATATACTAAATGATGTGAATGTACTGTGATGTAACACATCAATGCTCGTGTGAATATTGACATTTCTTACCAAATATATAAAATTTGGGGTTTGAAAATTGCCCAAAATGTCATCAGCTGTTTTAAATCAACCCTAACCTTGCAAAGATAATCCTAGATCGATCATTTAGGATTAAGCCGTCATGAAATGAAAGAATGTTAACGCCCTCTGGTCAGACCCACCTTTCACTGTGCAAAGAGTGTGTAAATGATATAATCATTAATTTATTAAGTGGTTTCATTTTTCTCATTTAACTCATTAAGTTAGCTTTCTAGCTAACGTCACCTTGTTAATTCCACCATGTTTTTCATGGCAACGTTGCTCCGATCACAGAAAATGAGCAGAGCATCGGGCTGCAGTAGTACGGAATAGTTTTAATATTAATATTGCGTTTTTATTAATTAATTAATTAATTAATTAATTAATTAATTAATTAATTAATTAATTAGTCTAGCCTGGGACAAGTGCACAGAGACATTAATGGACATGTCTAAAAGTAGAAACAAATCCGTCAATGCGGTCGTAAATCTGATGTTTCTTGGCTCAGAGTCACAAGCACTTGATTACGCAGCAACTGGCAGCCCAGCAGCAGACGCTTCAACAACACAGCCCTCCTCCACAAGCTCTCCAAGCACATATCTTATTCAGCCTCAGTGTTTTAAAACAACAAAGAGGACATTGCTCGGTCGTTGAGTTGCAATCCAGTGGTTAGGAATATTTTTCATATTTATGTTTGAAGGAATAACAATCCCTAGAATACAGCAGATCCTTTCTACGACTATTTAAAAAAAAATGTTTTGGGCATTGCTCCAATTACCATCACCATTTCGTTATTGTGACGTGTGCAGTAAGACATCTACAGAAGGAGCAATGCACTGTAAAAGATCAGAATCTCTACCAGTAGCTCACTAACAGTAGTTGAGGGTGGAATTTTCCATTAAGTCTACTTTCATCTTGCACTTAGTCTGAAACAGTCTAGAGGTGCAGTGCACTCCTCTCCGAACACAAAAAACAAGTCGGGCATGATTCATGCAACACATCTGAACGTGTAGCATCATGGAGGGGAGGGCGTCCCGGACAGGAAACTGTAATATTGTTGATGACACCACCCAAATATAGGCTCTCCTTACGTCAGCCTCAAATGTGTCAGGCAAAGCGAGAGGGTGAACGTGACATACTATGTATAGTCTAAGAGCTCAGCTGGTAATAAGTCATTATGGGAATACTCTGAGGTGTGATTTGATTAGGACATGTTCCAGGGCTAAGATTCCTTCATGACAATAGTTTCTAATATACAGAAAATCACACTTAACATATAATCAAAACAATCACGTACTTTTCAATTAGCATGGCTGTAATTTAGTCTCTAAAAATACTCCAAAAGGTGTACTGAAGGTTTCATTTATGTGTGTGCGTGTGCGCGCAAGCATCCTGCTGTTAGCGCCGAGATTAAAGACCCACATTTCAAATCACAAACCACCCATTCTCCTCCCAGGGATAAACCCAACTGGATGTTGATGGGTGAGATGACAAAGAGGGAGACAAAGGAGGAGTGAAACGGAAAGAAATAGGGACAAACAAAGAGTACGTGCTATAGACATTCCTACATTCCATGATCGTCGCACATTTAGTGTACTGTCTGACCAGCTGGTCACTCACGTGCTCAGCAACACTCAAACCCATAGAATCTCTGTATAAGAGAGCACTCAAAGTCTTTGACAAGAAACCGCAAACCTATCATCACTGCCACATCTTGAACAAACATAAGTTTTTAAGTTTTAACAACCTTATCAGCCTTAAAGAAGCCAGCATCATTTACAAAGTCCTAAATGGTCTGGCACCTCCTCCGCTGAACGAGTACATCAAACAGAGACCTGTCTGCGGCCCTGCGACTAGAGTCACCAGAGCCTCCGACAGAGGCGACTGTGTCATCCCACACAGGTGCACCACCTTTGGTCAGACGGTTCTGTCTGTCAAAGGCCCTCTGGAACACTTTACCATCCTCCGTTAGGGAGTGCCCAAACTTCAGCACTTTTAAAAAGCACATGAAGGGATGGCTGTTGTCCACCCAAACTTGTGCACATAGATAGTTTAACCTGGGTTAGTAGTATTAGTGTCATGGATATGTGATGTGCTAATGTTATATGAATGAATGAATGAAACCTTAAATCTGCAAATTAATTAATGCCTTTATGTGCAATATATCTGGGTGCAATACGATGAATATGAAATGTCTTCCTTACACTGTGATATTTTTTCTAGTTTCTTTTATATATATACAGTGGGTACGGAAAGTATTCAGACCCCTTTACATTTTTCACTCTGTTTCATTGCAGCCATTTGCTAAAATCAAAAAAGTTCATTTTATTTCTCATTAATGTACACTCAGCACCCCATCTCGACAGAAAAAAACAAATGTAGAAATTTATTAAAAAAGAAAAACTGAAATATCACATGGTCATAAGTATTCAGACCCTTTGCTGTGACACTCATATTTAACTCACATGCTGTCCATTTCTTCTGATCCTCCTTGAGATGGTTCTATTCCTTCATTGGAGTCCAGCTGTGTTTAATTAAACTGATTGGACTTGATTAGGAAAGGCACACACCTGTCTATATAAGACCTTACAGCTCACAGTGCATGTCAGAGCAGATGAGAATCATGAGGTCGAAGGAACTGCCCAAGGAGCTCAGAGACAGAATTGTGGCAAGGCACAGATCTGGCCAAGGTTACAAAAGAATTTCTGCAGCACTCAAGGTTCCTAAGAGCACAGTGGCCTCCATAATCCTTAAATGGAAGAAGTTTGGGACGACCAGAACTCTTCCTAGACCTGGCCGTCCAGCCAAACTGAGCAATCGTGGAAGAAGAGCCTTGGTGAGAGAGGTAAAGAAGAACCCAAAGATCACTGTGGCTGAGCCCGCATAGAGTTTGCCAAAACACACATGGACTCCCAGACTATGAGAAATAAGATTCTCTGGTCTGATGAGACCAAGATTGAACTATTTGGCGTTAATTCTAAGCGGTATGTGTGGAGAAAACCAGGCACTGCTCATCACCTGCCCAATACAATCCCAACAGTGAAACATGGTGGTGGCAGCATCATGCTATGGGGGTGTTTTTCAGCTGCAGGGACAGGACGACTGGTTGCAATTGAAGGAAAGATGAATGCGGCCAAGTACAGAGATATCCTGGAAGAAAACCTCTTCCAGAGTGCTCTGGACCTCAGACTGGGCCGAAGGTTCACCTTCCAACAAGACAATGACCCTAAGCACACAGCTAAAATAACAAAGGAGTGGCTTCGGAACAACTCTGTGACCATTCTTGACTGGCCCAGCCAGAGCCCTGACCTAAACCCAATTGAGCATCTCTGGAGAGACCTGAAAATGGCTGTCCACCAACGTTCACCATCCAACCTGACGGAACTGGAGAGGATCTGCAAGGAAGAATGGCAGAGGATCCCCAAATCCAGGTGTGAAAAGGTTGTTGCATCATTCCCAAGAAGACTCATGGCTGTACTAGCTCAAAAGGGTGCTTCTACTCAATACTGAGCAAAGGGTCTGAATACTTATGACCATGTGATATTTCAGTTTTTCTTTTTTAATAAATTTGCAACAATTTCTACATTTCTGTTTTTTTCTGTCAAGATGGGGTGCTGAGTGTACATTAATGAGAAATAAAATCTCATCTCCCTACTGCATCTCTGGAGCTCAGCCACAGTGATCTTTGGGTTCTTCTTTACCTCTCTCACCAAGGCTCTTCTTCCACGATTGCTCAGTTTGGCTGGACGGCCAGGTCTAGGAAGAGTTCTGGTCGTCCCAAACTTCTTCCATTTAAGGATTATGGAGGCCACTGTGCTCTTAGGAACCTTGAGTGCTGCAGAAATTCTTTTGTAACCTTGGCCAGATCTGTGCATTAATGAGAAAATAAAATGAACTTTTTTGATTTTAGCAAATGGCTGCAATGAAAAATGTAAAGGGGTCTGAATACTTTCCGTACCCACTGTATATGCGACTCCTTTTTTATCCATTGTTCAACTTTTTATTATCGAACTATTGTGTATTGTCAGCTACAGACTAATTGATTTTAATTTATTACTATTGCATTTTGGCATGACCTTTTCCTTTAGGACACTCAGCCTGTACATTCTGGCAGGGGGACAGACAATGGAAATCAGCCTTGCGGTTGTAATTGGGTGCATTTACATATTAATTTAAAGTGTTAATCAATGTACATTGTCCCTCTCGAACAAATAAAAACTAAACTAGAGATGGGAGGAGAGAAAGAGACCGATAAGATAGAGGCAAGAGAAAATAAAAGCAGTGAACTAAAGGCAAAGTCAACGTGAGGTACGAAGGGGTGAGAGACAGAAAGAAGGAATAGAGAGGTGAGGAGAGAGAGTGACATGAGAGGCGTAGAGATACAACAGAACAGCGGTGGGT